ATTAAGATTCAAAGATATTTCGATGAATTTAATGGATGAAATATCCAAGAAATTCGTTCAATATAGCGCAGACCGACTAAAAAAAAATCGAATCACAAGAAAGACGGTGCTGAAGAAATCTAATATGTATGTATAACAAAGATTACTGTTTATTTCTGTTGTTAAAAATTAAATTCGGATTCACATTTATAATAAATTGATTAATNTTAGGGGGGCCGGTATGTTTAGACGCGGCTGCTAACACCAGGCGCCTAAATGCATGCTATGTACTGCTGCATGTGCAAAAATTTCCTTCATTAAATTAATGAAATTTATGTACATGCACTTCTCAACTGCCATGTAATAAAACTTTCTTAAGTTATAATTTGATGGCAGTTCAAAGTATGCTCTGCCTAGTCGGATGCATCCTCCGGACACTGCTTCCGGAGCATTCTGCGGACTCTGCATGGCTTACAACCATGCGGAGGTGGTAATAGTTGATTACCATTGGCCACAGTGCCTACCCACTACTTTTTGGTCCAATAAATATTTTTTTATATACATACATGCAAACATACTGGTCTCCCCTCTCACTGAGTTATTCATGCTGCTAAATGTGTCGGAAAGTGCATATAATAGATTTGCTGTATAACAATGGAATATTTTGAACAAAATTACATAAGAGTTCGTGTGTTAAGTCATAGGAAAAAGTATCTTTTGAAAGTAAAAGCCGCATTGCAGTAGTTTGGCCTATAAAGTGTTCGTATGTGCCGTTACTTAAAACATTTCTTTCCAATTAAGATTCAAAGATATTTCGATGAATTTAATGGATGAAATATCCAAGAAATTCGTTCAATACAGCGCAGACCGACTAAATAAAAAATCGAATCACAAGAAACACGGTGCTGAAGAAATCTAATATGTATGTATAACAAAGATTACTGTTTATTTCTGTTGTTAAAAATTAAATTCGGATTCACATTTATAATAAATTGATTAATAACTCATAATTTTCGCACATTTTTTACTTTTGTTTATTTATATTATAGAACTAATTTCAGATAGCTAGTTTTTTCAATCCTATAAAACTCGGATCGCAAAAAATTACAATCTCGAACTATCATGAAATCTCGAGTGGAAAAATCAATAACTCTCGAAACGCCAACGATTCGAAAAAAATTCCAGAATCTTCAATGATTCGAAAAATAAAGATTATAGAATCTCCAACGATTCAAGAAATAAAAAATTCTCGAATCGCCAACCATTCGAAAAATAAAAATTATAGAATCTCCAACGATTAGAAAAATTAATTATTCTCGAATCTTCACCAATTCGAAGAAAAAAATTTCTAGTAATACTCGATTCGCTAACGATAGGTGACTCTCCTACGAACTCGAATTCGCCGATCTATAGCCGCGAAGTATCGTCTCGATTGTTCTATTAGAGAAAACGAGCTCGTCTCAAATTCGACGCGAATTCGTTGTGTTTATTGGAACCATCCAAATATCTCGACAACCAAAGTACTTACGATCATGAAATTTCATGAAAGTAGTGTAATAAAACCATTTTAATAATAAAGGGGACTCTTTTTTAGGGTCTGAATACCCATAGTCCTTACAGATAAAGTATTGGTATATTCGTACCACCAAATATCTTCATATATTACAATACGATTACAATCGTGAATGTTTCAATCAGAGCGGGCATAGTGAAGAGCGAACCATATATATACGCAAATGAAGCAGACTAAACAGCGAATTTATTTCTAGTTGTCAAACTGTTTAACTCGACACAGGTGCTTTAAGGCATACCTTCACCGATTTAAGCACGAACCGGAACCATATGCGACTACTGCGGAGGAGATGTTATAGAATACGTATTTTTTGAGTGTATGCGATTTGACCGTACCAGATGCAAACTTCGCAACATAGCAGCGAATTATGGTCGGCAGCATGTAACGCAATAGCAGAGGCGATAAAGGCGGTCCTTAGCCCGAATGGCTACGGTATAGCAGCGGCGACTAGCTACCTTTCCTCCCACGATGTAGTGCTTGACGTAATTCCCGTGGGTTGCGGAGTTTTAAGAAACAACATGCTTTTCCTGGTTTTATAGGTACACTTGAGAGCCCCTGAAAACAATTTTAAAGATGCTGCTTGGTGATATTCGCTTAACATTTCGTCAAGTAGAACTGAACCGGAACAATAATCTAGTGCTACTACAAATATTGTGGAGGAGTGTCCTTAAAAAAAAGCTAGTTTGATGTTATAGCGGCTGATGTTCGGATTAAAACAGAGGTTGTAGATTTAAACTAACTTTTATTAATCAAAGTAAATACGATATAGGTTACATCAAAAAACTTGTGGAGCTTGCGAACGACGAAGGAAGAGAGAGAGCACGACCAACCAGCAACAGCAGAATGTCATGTGAAACACACAAATGATAATGCAGGGTTGCCTTATGCCGATTGCTAAGAATTCCCTTGGCCTAATTTATTGGAAAGGTATCTGGAAACGCACTGTTGCGCGGTCTATCCGATCGACGGACAGTGTGTACGCTTGTTTGTACGTTGGAGTTGTTGTCGCCGTCCTGCGCAAGGATCGTTGGATGGTCGTTCTTAGTGTGCGGTGCGTTGTTATTGGTGGTTATATTATTTGGATCTACGGCCCACTCTATCTCATCGTCTACCGGCTCGCAGGTGGGAGGTGCTACCGCTTTCCGTATCTGGTTTTGGTGTCTTCTAATTATGCCCTTTGGTGTTGTTATGTTGTACATCATGCGGCCCAATACTTGGACTTCTTATACTATACAAAACTTCGATTTGGACTGGTTATGTATGTGATGGTTTGGAAAAAGTGCTAACAGTAGGCTGTCGACCATGCAGTATGTCTGCTGGCGATTTCCCTATGATCGTATTTGGCGTTGAGCGATACGTAGCTAGATATTTACATAGAGCCTTTTCTTTACTTGATGAACCTTTCATTTCCTTACCAAATTCTCCTTTAAATATTCTTACGAACCTCTCCGCCAACCCTTTAGATGCTGGATGAAAAGGCGCCGTAGTGAGATGAGTAATGGCATTGAGTTCACAGAATTTTTGAAATTCCCATGACGTGAATTGCGTTCCGTTGTCACATGCTACGGTTTCGGCAGTCCTTCGCATTCTAGTTTAACCCCAGTGGCCCTCATAAAGCATAGCTAGGACTTTTGACTGCAAAGTTGCTGGAACAACCACTCGATTGTGCTCTGTTTGAAACAAGATCACGCTCTTCTGTAAAGAAAGCGAGAGTGTTGCGGCCACCCATCTTGATTCATTCTTTTAACGACTTGAAATTGGACATCTTCTTCTGTCTCCTTTGAGACCGTCGATGAGCTAATGGGAAAAGTGTCAAGTGCAGTTTCATTGACCTCATGAACGTTAAGTATCTTATTTTCTCAAGAATCGAACTTTAAGTCTTCGCCCTTTGGAAGTCGAGAGAGCGCATCTGCGTTGGTGTGTTGTGCCGTATTTTTATGCCTTATAGTGTAGACGAAGGCTTGGAGAAATATTGCCCACCTTTCGAGCCTGTGCAACGTTGGGACCGGTAGCGTTTTATGGGGATGAAATATGGTGACCAGCGGTGGTTGATCACTAGTTAGTTCAAACCTACGACCGTAAAGTACTGGTAAAAACGCGTGACGCAAAATACTATGGATAGTGCTTCCTTTTCTACTTGCGAGTAGTTTATTTGGCTCTTATTTAACGTTTTGAATGCGAAGCAATTGGTTTTCCGACCCATCTGGATACCTATGCTATATCACGGCACCGATTTCGTATTTTGACGCTTCCGTTGCAAGAACTATGGGTAGCTTATCGTTGTGGTGCACGAGCTGGGTCGCTGTTATCATATCATCTTTTAGTGCTGTAAAAGCAGTGTCCTGAGCCTCGCCCCATTCAAACTTTTGCCCTTGCCTTCTCAAGAAATTCAACGCGGACGCCTGCGGAGAAATTCGGGATAAACTTATTATAATAGTTGATTTTACCAATGAATGCTTCTACTTCACGCACGTTTAAGGCCGAGGCAGCATTCGGATCGCCTCTAAACGTTTGGTTGAGGGTTTAATGCCGTTAGCATCAATTATGTCGCCGGCGTATTCAAATTTCTGACTGGCGAAGGTGCATTTTTCTGGGCGGCATCGAGGTTTGCCACATTATTTTCATCATTTTCTCCAGTAACGATCACATCATCAAGATATACTGCGCATTCAGGGATGCCTGCTATCAGTTGCATCATAAACCGTTGGAAAATTCCAGGGGCGCTAGGAATTCCAAACGGTAGCCTTTGATACTGGAATAACCCAAAGGCTGTGTTGATCACCATGCATTTTTTTGAGCTCCCAGATAGCTCGATTTGGTGATAAGCGTCGCTGAGGTCTATCTTTGTAAAATATTGACCTCCTTGGAGTTTTCACAGTAGTTCCTCTATCCGGGGGATGGGGTAGTGATCCACTTGTATTTGGGAGTTAAGGCCTGCCTTAAAATAAGCGCAGACCCGTATTTTTCCACCCTGCTTTCGTATCACCACAATGGGCACTGCCCATTCGCTGGCCTTGATGGGCTGTAAAACGTTAGCACTTACTAAGCGATTCAGTTCGGCCAGTATTTCATCGTGAAATACGAAGGGTAAGTTGTACGGCTTGGAGAACTTTGGCTTTGCGCTAGCCTTAAGACAAATTTCAGCTTTAAATGTAGAGCATAACCCAAGTCCGCCTGCGAAAAGAGTAGGGTATTATTTGGTTAGACCCCCGAGCGATTAAGCTAGTTGGCTACTTGATCGGGCCTCTGTGTAAGATGAGAAACATTGATTTGCTTCTATATTACTTAGGAGATCAGTATGAAACCTTAATTTACGGAACCAATCCTAGAATATTGGAGGCCTCCTTGTTATCCACCACCACAAGAGGGAGGGTTTCATGTATATTGTTACAGTGAACGTTCACCATGGTTATACCTTTTAATAATAATTGATTTCCACCGTATGTCTTTAGTACTTTACTGTACGCACGCATTTTGGCTTTCCAAGCATTCCGACCAAAGAGCATGATGCACCCGTATCTACTTGGAAACTGAGGCTTTTACCATTTACATGGAGTTTAACTTCAATTTTCTCATCAATGTCGCTCGTGGTATTAACGACATTTATCCCGCTGATATTTTCGAAAGTCGGTTGGCTAACGTCATTAACTACATTAACTTGCTTGCACTTCGACGTCTTACGTTTTTCGGTAGATTTGCATACTGACGAAATATGTCCGGGCCTTGAACAACTGTTGCATTTAGTCTTCCTTTTGAAGTAAATGCAGTCATTTCGCCAGTGCGACGTACCGCACCCAGGGCATGATTTCAGCGCTTTTTCTGGGGAGCCACGTGAAATATTACTCTTTTGCCATTTGCTATCCGCGCACCCAAGCTCCTTCATTGCAGGACAAGTTCGAACAGTTGACTCATAAATTGATGCTATTTGTAGTACCTCTTCCAGCGTTGGATTTGTTTTCTGTAATGCGGCAGTCCTTACCTTTTTATAACGTGTGTGCATTACGATCATGTCTCGTATTTTACTGTCAACATATGATTCAGAGCATCCCGCTTTGCAACATGTGAACATAAAGTCTTTCGAGCGCCCTCGCAACTCGGCTACCCAATCTGAGTATGTCTGGTCCATTCTCAATGTGGTACGATACAACTTGAAGCATGCCGCTAGCATGTGTTGCTTCTCGATGAAATGGTCATTTAAAGCCGTGGTTATCTCCTTAAAAGTTTTTTCTTTTACTTTACCATCAAAAAACGTTTGTAACAACTCTAAATTTTCTGCTCCAACCCAACTGAGTATACATGCGCATCTCATTGGCTCTTCCGTCACACAAATTGCCAGAAAATGTTGCTCTAACTGGAGTATGTATGTACTCCGTCTATCATTGGATTTATTGAATGGACGAAAGTTGGGTATGGCCATCTGCCGCTCCCCAGCCACTTTATTTTCGCGAATAGTCTTTTCGAGAAAATCCCAATTTTCCTTTACCATGCTCGCTATAAATGCCTGATTCGATGCCTGCAATTGATTAAGCACATGCTTCAGCGCTTCGGCATCCATGTCGTAGAAAGGTTACGACCGCGTTATATATGCCAGACTCCTAGTCGCCGGATAAATGTTATAGCGGCTGATGTTCGTATTAAAACAGAGATTGTAGATTTAAACTAACAATTTATTAATCAAAGTAAATACGATATAGGTTACATCAAAAAACGCGTGGAGCTTGCGAACGACGCAGGAAGAGAGAGCACGACCAACCAGCAACAGCAGAATGTCATGTGAAACACACAAATGATACTACAGGGAGGCCTTATGCCGATTGCTAACATTTGAAAATAAGAAAAGGCTGGAAGAAAGCCACGAAGCTAAATCCTAAATTTGGAAGCTAAACGATAAAGGAAAAAGATAGATCTAGCCTCAAAAAGGCTAAACTGGTAACGCTGGTCGGAGTGCAATAGGGTATAGTCGTTACGCTGGGTATGCAGGTACAATTGCATAGCTATACTCAATCCCGTCTCTTGCGTCCTCTTCGCGCACTCTGGGCAACGTGAGCAACCGATGTGCAAGACGCGGTAACTAATCCGAGTGGAGCCTTGGGTCACGGCATAAAGAGAGGGAGCTTCGGTGGGGTCACTCCGACTTATTCGGTTTAAGGGCTCACTGAAGTCTGCAGCGTCTGTTCATCAGTAGCAGCGGCTGCAAGCGAGTGTCTGCGTGGAGCAAGCGGCTCGCTATATAAACGTGTATTAGGTTGCGAAACCTAAAATTCATCTAAAAATGTATCCAATTGGATCTATTTAGATCCAAACGGCATCCCTGATTAAGGCTGATCGACTTCGCCGGGGCCCAAAATATGGTAGTATGTAGCAGGGTTGTTGCCAATATTCGCATTCGCATTCCCAACTGCGGAACTTCCGCATTAAAGTTAACATTCGCATTCGCAATAATTAATGCGGAGCTTTTGCGAATGCGAATGTTGTTCAAGTGCATCGATAAAACGTATATAGCATTGACACATTAAGTTGAACTTTTGGCAAATAAAATTAATCTTTTGGCAAATAAATTTAATCTTTTGGAAAATAGATTTAATCTTTTGACAAATAAAATTAAACTTTTGGCAAATAAATTTAATCTTTTGGCAATTAAATTTAACCTTCTGGCAAATAAAATTAATCTTTTGGCAAATAAACTTAATCTTTTGGCAAATAAAATTAAACTCTACTAAACAGTGTTTGAAAAAGTAAAAAATACATTAAAAAACTGGTGTTGCTGTGCTAGGAAAGTATTTTTTTTTTGTTTTAACTTTTGACACTTAGCTTTACTGCGCTAATATCAAGAATTAACCTCTAGGATAGCTGAAAAGTGTTTTTTGGTTTTTCTTTTTTTTGTTGATTTGACTGCTCACTTTCAAACAGTTCTGTCACAGCATGGTCTCAAATATTCCTCACACTATCTGGCGCATTTTATTTCAACCAAACCACGCATTATGGCCAAATGGGATAAAAAAACATCTAAAATGCTACAAATCTTGAACTCTCTTAATATGTTTCCAAACGCAGGTACAAAAAAAAATTATTTATGTGCATAATATGTACATTATGGTCCCCATCGAAAATGTTTTTTTTTTGGAAATTTCAAGACCCTGCCCCCTAACTTTATTCGTTTTTATGAGAAATAGTATAACCTATTTTTATAGAAATTTTAAAGGCCATTTAGAGGTCACGACCTGTCGATTTAAGTTAAAAAATACGGTTTTGTAGATTTATGAGTTTTTGAATGACTATTTTTGACTCGATTTCAAAGATCGAATGTCATCTGAGAAGAGGATATAAAGGCCTTTAAAATGGTATTTAAATATCTATTTTCGGACTTGGCTTGTTGGGATTTTTTATGGGGTAAAATAAAAAAAAAACCCATATTTCTCTTAATTTTTTAAATTTTGACCATTGATAATTTCCACAATTTCAAAATATGTAGTCCTGTCTAAAATTAAATCTATTTTCAAATAAACTGATACCTCATTAATGGCAATCTCATTAAAATTGTCGAATTTAGGAGACTTCTTAAATACGGCCTTGAATTTATATTGTTTATGTACCGGACTTTCAGTTTTTTTGAGCAGTGACGCTGGGGAATTCATCAATATTTATTCAAAATTGATATACATATACAATCGTTCTTTAGCAAAGAAGTGGTTTTTCAAGATTTTTTAAGAAAATGAGGGTGGCACCGCTCACTTTTATGATATATGCGTATCACAAAAACTGCTCAATCGATCTCAACCAAATGTGGTCTACACATTGTGCTTAGCCTCCTTAAGTGCCGTCTTGAATATTTTTGAAATCGACAATTTTAATGCGATTGCAATTAATAAGGTATCAGTTTATTTGAAAAAAGATTTAATTTTAGACAGTACTACATATTTTGAAATTGTGGAAATTATCAATGGTCAAAATTTAAAAAATTAAGATAAATATAGGTTTTTTTTATTTTACCCCATAAAAAATCCCAACAAGCCAAGTTCGAAAATAGATAATTAAATACCATTTTAAAGGCCTATATATCCTCTTCTCAGATGACATTCGATCTTTGAAATCGAGTCTAAAATAATCATTCAAAAACTCATAAATCTTCAAAACCGTATTTTTTAACCTAAATCGACAGGTCGCGACCTCTAAATGACCTTTAAAATATCTATAAAAATATGCTATAACATTTCTCATAAAAACGAATAAAATTAGGGGGCAAGGTCTTGAAATTTCCAAAAAAAACAACATTTTCGATGGGGACCTTAATGTACATAGTATGCACGTAAATAAATTTTTTTTGTACCTGCGTTTGGAAATATATTAAGGGAGTTCAAGATTTGTAGCATTTTAGATGTTTTTTATCCCATTTGGCCATAATGCATGGTTTGGTTGAAATAAAATGCGCCAGATAGTTTGACGAATATTTGAGACCATGCTCTGACAGAACTGTTTGAAAGTGAGCAGTCAAATCAACAGAACAGAAAAACCAAAAAACACTTTTCAGCTATCCTGGAGGTTAACTCTTGATATTGGCGCAGTAAAGCTAAGTCAAAAGTTAAAAAAAAGCTTTCCTAGCACAACAACAGCAGTTTTTTTAGGGTATTTTTTACTTTTTCAAACACTGTTTATTACTATAGTAGAGTTTAATTTTATTTGCCAAAAGATTAAATATATTTGCCAAAAGAATAATTTTATTTGCCAAAAGGTTAAACTGATTGGCCAAAAGATTGAACTTATTTGCCAAAAGATTAATTTTATTTGTCAAGACATTAAATTTATTTGCCAAAAGATTAAATTTATTAGCAAAAAGATTAATTTTATTTGCAAAAGTGTAACTTAATGTGTCAATGCTATATATGACAAACAAAATGACAAATTGTAGCCAATATTATTGTCTGTGGTCGTGGGAGTATTGGTGTAACAAAACTAGTCAAATGTCATACTTATCAACTTTGACAAAAATGTCGCTAAAAATATTATTTCTTAAGCTATATAACCGCGTTATCAATGGGCAGTCATACAAGTTCCAACTTCCACATGATCTTTGACGTACGTCAAAGGGAACATAGTTTTTAACATTTTTTTTTCTGTGCCTGCATTGCTTTCTTTTTTTTATTATGATTTTTTGGACCAATCTTAAAAAACTATTAGACACAAAAGACGAACGTGTGCACTGTTCATAGGGATATACTGAATCCTTGGCTAAAAGCTTCTGTGGTAAAACTGTCCCTTTTTTGCTATTTAAAGTCTAAGGAGCTTACCTTCAATAGGGGTTTCCAGCAGAAACGATCAACGTCTGGCTATAAAGAGAATCGACCTAATAAACACCAAAAAATATTTCTCCAACCCTGGAGAAATTCATAGTTCTCAAGTTGATATCCAACATAATTCTCTAACTCATCTCTAAACGACGCGCAGATACGTAAAGAGTGATAAAGAAACCAATTTTTTATTATCAAGTGCAAAACGAAAGCTAAATAAAGAGGAAAATTACCAACAAAAAGTAAATAATCTAAATACAATAAGTTATTTTACTATTTCAATTTCAGTATTTCAATGATATTTTTGAGACCAATTGGAGAATTACATTGGAGTTCAAGCTGAGAACTAGCATTTTCTCAAATTGAGAAACAGTACTTTTTTCATACAAAGAAAAATGCCCTTTTTGTTGAGAACGCTATGATCCACCACTTGATGTACTGTTAAGAAACAACGTTCGCGATTTGAGAAATACCTTTGCTCTCAACTCAGTCTCAAGTTGAGCTCAAACATAAATGTTTGTTGGGGATGCTCAAATAATTAAAAAACTATAGGTCTGACCTTTAATAAGATAAGAATTACGTAACTATCTGAGATTCGGAGCTTATAAAAAACAGGGTGCTTTTTAAAAAAATAACAATATTGTGATCCGATTCGGCTGGCAGCCACGACTTTAAAAACAGAATTTTGTTAAAAATTTCCATTAATGGAAAATAATAATTTATTTTCCATATCCACCTATTTAGCTCGCCATAAGCACAAATTTTTCAAACCATTCGCAGCAGAAAGTATTAAAAATGAAGTAAAAAAACTAAAATCGAAAAACGGTGATGAAGTTACAGATTTCCCAAATTCTGAAACAGCCAATGGGAATAAAATACTCTTTTTAAAAAGCTTTAGAACAACCTGATATATGTATCTGGTTTGGCTTGTAAGCGCCATTATGATAGATTCTAATTGTTTCTTAAAAATTCTTGACATCCGCATCCCCATCTGCGGATGTTAGCTGTTAGATATTCGCATCCGCATTCGCATCCGCGGATGTCTAAAATTCCACATTCGCAACATCCCTAGTACGTAGTACTAGGTTCAAGCATAAAAAGATCCATGAAGCTACGTGGCTGTCTCAGGATCGAAAAACGAGAATACAAATCGATCATATTGTGATAGACGGAACGCACGCTTCCAGTGTTTTAGACGTTCGCACACTTCGAGGCCCAAACATCGACTCGGACCACTATCTTGTTGCAGCCAAGATACGCACCCGCCTCT